ACTGGGATAGTGTAACTCACCCCTTCATTAACTATTTCAGATCAAGAGAACTAAGATTCAGATTCCGATCAACAAGGGGGTTGTTTCACCACCCAAACTCCCTTCAAGAGCTAGTAAAGTTCATCCTATGATTGCTTAGTTATTTGTCTTTCATTTATTATTATTTTTTTATTTGTTCTTTTAGAATGGACATTCTCGTAACCCTATTGGGGATACTAAATTATTGTGTAAGCAATGTAAACCCTAACTCTATTATTTCGCTTCCGTATTTAATTTATAACTTTATTTTCATTTAAGTTTCGGGTCTTTACAATTAGTATCAGAGCTGCATTTCTCGGAAAAATTCCTTAAACAAAGACCTAAGGAAACACAAAAAAATGAATTATCACTCAACCATTTCTTATGAAATGCAGGTACAGATAGATGAGGAGATGAAGAATCTCAATAAACCGAGTAGCTCGAGAGGGTTCACTTTAAGAGGATGTTGACCGACTATTTGAAATACTGAAGAGACTCATCGTTGCCAGCAAGCCCCGGAAGAAAGGAGGGAGCTACCTGACCCTCCCTCACTACCACAATTTGAGCCACCCTTGCAGTGGGAGGATCTTGAGCCACCCCGGTACATTCCTGCTCCTCTACAGTACTATCTGGCACCACCACAGTATAATTCGATGCCGCCACTACATCACCCAACACCACCACAGTACAGTCCGGTGCCTCCACCGTATCATCTAGTACTACCACAAGGCCATCCGGTCCTTCCGTAGCACAATTCACTCATATTTCCACGGGACCCAATTCCACCCATGATGGACCCAAGCTATATTGAGAGGTATAAAAGACTAAATCCATCTACTTTTTATAAGGCATCCTCTTTTGAAGAGGCTGAGTACTGGTTAGCTGAGACAAAGAAGGCTTTCATGACTCTTGGGGTAGTTCCCGAACAGAGAGTGATACTTATCACCTACATATTGGAGAGAGAAGTAGGTTGTTGGTGGTAGATCAAGCAAGCCACCCTGCCCGTTTCAGTCATTTGAAAATAGTTCCTGATGGCCTTCAATGCAAAGTACCTCCTAGAATATCTCCGACATCTGAAAAAAATAGAGTTTGCACACCTTGTCCAAGGTTATATGACTGTGTCAAAGTATACTCTAAAGTTCCTGGAGTTATACGGTATTCCCTTCAGAGCATGATGGATGAAGGTAGACATGCAAGAAAGTTTGAGTGGGGTCTCCGTCTTGAGATTAGATAACAGTTGTATGTGTTCGAACTTAGTACTTACTCAGCTGTTCTGGCCAAGGCACAGATAGTAGAGATGAACCTTCACATTTTTCCTCAAGTAGTAAAGAACTTCAAGCCTCCAGTTTCACACCACAGACTGGCACCCACAGCACATGTTCAGCAAAACAAGAGTCCTAGGCCAGTGACTCAGGCTCCTCCTCAGATTCCGGTAACAAGACGCGATAGGACTTGCCAGCACTGCGACAAGGATCATGGGGACCAACCCTGTTATCACCTCAACAATACTTGTCATATATGTGGGAGTGCCCATCAGTACATGAGAGAGTGCTCAAGGAAT